ACAGTTACTGGCCAGGCAGGGTGATAACACTGGTGTACAGGTACTGGCCAGGCAGGGTGATGACACTGGTGTACAATTACTGGCCAGGCAGGGTGATGACACTGGTGTACAGTTACTGGCCAGGCAGGGTGATGACACTGGTGTACAGGTACTGGCCAGGCAGGGTGATGACACTGGTGTACAGTTACTGGCCAGGCAGGGTGATGACACTGGTGTACAGTTACTGGCCAGGCAGGGTGATGACACTGGTGTACAGGTACTGGCCAGGAGGGTGATGACACTGGTGTACAGTTACTGGCCAGGCAGGGTGATGACACTGGTGTACAGGTACTGGCCAGGAGGGTGATGACACTGGTGTACAGTTACTGGCCAGGCAGGGTGATGACACTGGTGTACAGGTACTGGCCAGGCAGGGTGATGACACTGGTGAACAGTTACTGGCCAGGCAGGGTGATGACACAGGTGTACAGGTACTGGCCAGGCAGGGTGATGACACTGGTGTACAGTTACTGGCCAGGCAGGGTGATGACACTGGTGTACAGTTACTGGCCAGGCAGGGTGATGACACTGGTGTACAGTTACTGGCCAGGCAGGGTGATGACACTGGTGTACAGGTACTGGCCAGGCAGGGTGATGACACTGGTGTACAGTTACTGGCCAGGCAGTGTGATAACACTGGTGTACAGGTACTGGCCAGGCAGGGTGATGACACTGGTGTACTGGCCAGGTAGGGTGATGACACTGGTGTACTGGGCAGGCAGGGTGATGACACTGGTGTACTGGGCAGGCAGGGTGATGACACTGGTGTACTGGCCAGGCAGGGTGATGACACTGGTGTACAGTTACTGGCCAGGCAGGGTGATGACACTGGTGTACAGTTACTGGCCAGGCAGGGTGATAACACTGGTGTACAGGTACTGGCCAGGCAGGGTGATGACACTGGTGTACTGGCCAGGCAGGGTGATGACACTGGTGTACAGTTACTGGGCAGGCAGGGTGATGACACTGGTGTACAGTTACTGGCCAGGCAGGGTGATAACACTGGTGTACAGGTACTGGCCAGGCAGGGTGATGACACTGGTGTACAGTTACTGGCCAGGCAGGGTGATGACACTGGTGTACTGGCCAGGCAGGGTGATGACACTGGTGTACTGGCCAGGCAGGGTGATGACACTGGTGTACTGGCCAGGCAGGGTGATGACACTGGTGTACTGGCCAGGCAGGGTGATGACACTGGTGTACAGTTACTGGCCAGGCAGGGTGATGACACTGGTGTACAGTTACTGGCCAGGCAGGGTGATGACACTGGTGTACAGTTACTGGCCAGGCAGGGTGATGACACTGGTGTACAGGTACTGGCCAGGCAGGGTGATGACACTGGTGTACAGTTACTGGCCAGGCAGGGTGATGACACTGGTGTACAGGTACTGGCCAGGCAGGGTGATGACACTGGTGTACAGGTACTGGCCAGGCAGGGTGATGACACTGGTGTACAGTTACTGGCCAGGCAGGGTGATGACACTGGTGTACAGTTACTGGCCAGGCAGGGTGATGACACTGGTGTACAGTTACTGGGCTGGCAGGGTGATGACACGAGTACAGTTACTGGCCAGGCAGGGTGATGACACTAGTGTACTGGCCAGGCAGGGTGATGACACTGGTGTACAGTTACTGGCCAGGCAGGGTGATGACACTGGTGTACAGTTACTGGCCAGGCAGGGTGATGACACTGGTATACAGTTACTGGCCAGGCAGGGTGATGACACTGGTGTACTGGCCAGGCAGGGTGATGACACTGGTGTACAGTTACTGGCCAGGCAGGGTGATGACACTGGTGTACTGGCCAGGCAGGGTGATGACACTGGTGTACAGGTACTGGCCAGGCAGGGTGATGACACTGGTGTACAGGTACTGGCCAGGCAGGGTGATGACACTGGTGTACAGTTACTGGCCAGGCAGGGTGATGACACTGGTGTACAGTTACTGGTCAAGCAGGGTGATGACACTGGTGTACTGGCCAGGCAGGGTGATGACACTGGTGTACTGGCCAGGCAGGGTGATGACACTGGTGTACTGGCCAGGCAGGGTGATGACACTGGTGTACAGTTACTGGCCAGGCAGGGTGATGACACTGGTGTACTGGCCAGGCAGGGTGATGACACTGGTGTACAGTTACTGGCCAGGCAGGGTGATGACACTGGTGTACAGGTACTGGCCAGGCAGGGTGATGACACTGGTGTACAGTTACTGGCCAGGTAGGGTGATGACACTGGTGTACTGGCCAGGCAGGGTGATGACACTGGTGTACTGGCCAGGCAGGGTGATGACACTGGTGTACAGGTACTGGCCAGGCAGGGTGATGACACTGGTGTACAGGTACTGGCCAGGCAGGGTGATGACACTGGTGTACAGTTACTGGCCAGGCAGGGTGATGACACTGGTGTACAGTTACTGGCCAGGCAGGGTGATGACACTGGTGTACAGTTAATGGCCAGGCAGGGTGATGACACTGGTGTACAGTTACTGGCCAGGCAGGGTGATAACACTGGTGTACTGGCCAGGCAGGGTGATAACACTGGTGTCCAGGTACTGGCCAGGCAGGGTGATGACACTGGTGTACAGTTACTGGACAGGCAGTGTGATGACACTGGTGTACTGGCCAGGCAGGGTGATGACACTAGTGTACTGGCCAGGCAGGGTGATGACACTGGTGTACAGTTACTGGCCAGGCAGGGTGATGACACTGGTGTACAGTTACTGGCCAGGCAGGGTGATGACACTGGTATACAGTTACTGGCCAGGCAGGGTGATGACACTGGTGTACTGGCCAGGCAGGGTGATGACACTGGTGTACAGTTACTGGCCAGGCAGGGTGATGACACTGGTGTACTGGCCAGGCAGGGTGATGACACTGGTGTACAGGTACTGGCCAGGCAGGGTGATGACACTGGTGTACAGGTACTGGCCAGGCAGGGTGATGACACTGGTGTACAGTTACTGGCCAGGCAGGGTGATGACACTGGTGTACTGGCCAGGCAGGGTGATGACACTGGTGTCCTTGCCAGGCAGGGTGATGGCACTGGTGTACAGTTAGCCAGGCAGTGTGATGACACTGGTGTACAGTTACTGGCCAGGCAGGATGATGACACTGGTGTACAGTTACTGGCCAGGCAGGGTGATGACACTGGTGTACAGTTACTGGCCAGGCAGGGTGATGACACTGGTGTACAGTTACTGGCCAGGCAGGGTGATAACACTGGTGTACAGGTACTGGCCAGGTAGGGTGATAACACTGGTGAACAGTTACTGGCCAGGCAGGGTGATAACACTGGTGTACAGGTACTGGCCAGGCAGGGTGATGACACTGGTGTACAATTACTGGCCAGGCAGGGTGATGACACTGGTGTACAGTTACTGGCCAGGCAGGGTGATGACACTGGTGTACAGGTACTGGCCAGGCAGGGTGATGACACTGGTGTACAGTTACTGGCCAGGCAGGGTGATGACACTGGTGTACAGTTACTGGCCAGGCAGGGTGATGACACTGGTGTACAGGTACTGGCCAGGAGGGTGATGACACTGGTGTACAGTTACTGGCCAGGCAGGGTGATGACACTGGTGTACAGGTACTGGCCAGGAGGGTGATGACACTGGTGTACAGTTACTGGCCAGGCAGGGTGATGACACTGGTGTACAGGTACTGGCCAGGCAGGGTGATGACACTGGTGAACAGTTACTGGCCAGGCAGGGTGATGACACAGGTGTACAGGTACTGGCCAGGCAGGGTGATGACACTGGTGTACAGTTACTGGCCAGGCAGGGTGATGACACTGGTGTACAGTTACTGGCCAGGCAGGGTGATGACACTGGTGTACAGTTACTGGCCAGGCAGGGTGATGACACTGGTGTACAGGTACTGGCCAGGCAGGGTGATGACACTGGTGTACAGTTACTGGCCAGGCAGTGTGATAACACTGGTGTACAGGTACTGGCCAGGCAGGGTGATGACACTGGTGTACTGGCCAGGTAGGGTGATGACACTGGTGTACTGGGCAGGCAGGGTGATGACACTGGTGTACTGGGCAGGCAGGGTGATGACACTGGTGTACTGGCCAGGCAGGGTGATGACACTGGTGTACAGTTACTGGCCAGGCAGGGTGATGACACTGGTGTACAGTTACTGGCCAGGCAGGGTGATAACACTGGTGTACAGGTACTGGCCAGGCAGGGTGATGACACTGGTGTACTGGCCAGGCAGGGTGATGACACTGGTGTACAGTTACTGGGCAGGCAGGGTGATGACACTGGTGTACAGTTACTGGCCAGGCAGGGTGATAACACTGGTGTACAGGTACTGGCCAGGCAGGGTGATGACACTGGTGTACAGTTACTGGCCAGGCAGGGTGATGACACTGGTGTACTGGCCAGGCAGGGTGATGACACTGGTGTACTGGCCAGGCAGGGTGATGACACTGGTGTACTGGCCAGGCAGGGTGATGACACTGGTGTACTGGCCAGGCAGGGTGATGACACTGGTGTACAGTTACTGGCCAGGCAGGGTGATGACACTGGTGTACAGTTACTGGCCAGGCAGGGTGATGACACTGGTGTACAGTTACTGGCCAGGCAGGGTGATGACACTGGTGTACAGGTACTGGCCAGGCAGGGTGATGACACTGGTGTACAGTTACTGGCCAGGCAGGGTGATGACACTGGTGTACAGGTACTGGCCAGGCAGGGTGATGACACTGGTGTACAGGTACTGGCCAGGCAGGGTGATGACACTGGTGTACAGTTACTGGCCAGGCAGGGTGATGACACTGGTGTACAGTTACTGGCCAGGCAGGATGATGACACTGGTGTACTGGCCAGGCAGGGTGATGACACTGGTGTACAGTTACTGGCCAGGCAGGGTGATGACACTGGTGCAGAGAGTCACCCTAGAAGGAAGGGTCCTCGTAACCTTAGACATTAAGAAAGTATTCACTTCACATACTTACCTGTGAGTGTTGCAGAGTGTATGGCAAGAGGTCACCCTCGAGGACCCGGCCCTGCCACTCTTGGGTCACCCTTGGTCACTCTTCGGGCCGCCACTCTAAGGCTCTCTGACACTGTCTTAGGGCCACTGGCCGGGGCTCACACGGCTGTCTCCACCTGTCTCCTTGGTGCTAATTACAGGTACACGACGTCACGATTCACTTGACATTTCTGTGGGTTGGATCACAGCTGTGAGTGATGGACACCAATGATGGTCGGAGAGTCTGGTCGCGACGCCTCCCAATCTGTCCGCAGGACGAAGAGCGCCGCGCCATCACACTCTCCCGCGCTTTTTGTCCGCCTCGGCCAATCACAGGCCGTCGCTGGGAAAGTAAGCCGTAACGGTGGCCGCCTCCTGGGCCAATGGGCGCTTGTTGCGGTTCTGACGTCATGGGAGTCCGCCCACCGGAATGGGCAGCTTGGGCTGGGATTGGCTGAAGACCAAATCACTTCCGCCAATGGGGAGCCCCGCCGCCCGAGGCCAAGCAGTGCATCTGATATGACAGATGACACTCACAATGCCTACTGGCCAATTTTATTTCAGTAATATTTTCGCGAAATGATACTCACTTTCGATTCTATAATTGCGTTATAGGCGTTGTATTGACACGTGTTATACGCACTTTACGCACAAAACACCTGAACGTCAGAGTAGAGATCAATAATTGCCACGATTAAGAGTGGAAAATTAGAAACTCCTCAGATGGCAGCATCGGCGCTCGGGAATGCTACCCACCATAATTTGGTAGATTGACTGCGGTTTGTTGAGCGCTTCCGACCACCCATTTGTGGCGACCATTGTATCGCAAATTTATTTCAGGTCACGGGACGTTTTCACCAAAATGATATGACTTGGTTTTATTGACATTTTCCTCCGGCACTCTGACACACTGATGACAGTGGAGAGTGCCATAATGGTGGGCAGGGCCAGCGAGACCACTTCCCCGATGGCACTTGACCCAACCACACCAAGTGCCAAAGTTGTTGTGGCTCTGAGGTGCCAGATCTTCTCCAGGGACATAATAAGTTAGACCATAAAGTTGGTTGTAAAGCACTAAGTTTGGAGGAAGTTCTTGAAGGCTTTTCTTGTGTGGTGATGGCGGTGGCTTGGGGGTCCTCTGTTGTCAGGTGTTTGGTGGTGTGTTGGCAGGTGTGTGCTACACCCTCTAGTGTACTGCTGCTCCCCGTCCTCTAGTGTACTGCTGTTCCCCGTCCTCTAGTGTACTGCTGCTCCCCGTCCTCTAGTGTACTGCTGCTCCCCGTCCTCTAGTGTACTGCTGCTCCCCGTCCTCTAGTGTACTGCTGCTCCCCGTCCTCTAGTGTACTGCTGCTCCCCGTCCTCTAGTGTACTGCTGCTCCCCGTCCTCTAGTGTACTGCTGCTCCCCGTCCTCTAGTGTACTGCTGCTCCCCGTCCTCTAGTGTACTGCTGCTCCCCGTCCTCTAGTGTACTGCTGCTCCCTGTCCTCTTGTATACTGCTGCTCCCCGTCCTCTGGTGTACTGCTGCTCCCCGTCCTCTAGTGTACTGCTGCTCCCCGTCCTCTAGTGTACTGCTGCTCCCCGTCCTCTAGTGTACTGCTGCTCCCCGTCCTCTAGTGTACTGCTGCTCCCCGTCCTCTAGTGTACTGCTGCTCCCCGTCCTCTGGTGTACTGCTGCTCCCCGTCCTCTAGTGTACTGCTGCTCCCCGTCCTCTAGTGTACTGCTGCTCCCCGTCCTCTGGTGTACTGCTGCTCCCCGTCCTCTAGTGTACTGCTGCACCCCGTCCTCTAGTGTACTGCTGCTCCCCGTCCTCTAGTGTACTGCTGCTCCCCGTCCTCTAGTGTACTGCTGCTCCCCGTCCTCTGGTGTACTGCTGCTCCCCGTCCTCTAGTGTACTGCTGCTCCCCGTCCTCTAGTGTACTGCTGCTCCCCGTCCTCTAGTGTACTGCTGCTCCCCGTCCTCTAGTGTACTGCTGTTCCCCGTCCTATAGTGTACTGCTGCTCCCCGTCCTCTAGTGTACTGCTGCTCCCCGTCCTCTAGTGTACTGCTGCTCCCCGTCCTCTGGTGTACTGCTGCTCCCCGTCCTCTAGTGTACTGCTGCTCCCCGTCCTCTAGTGTGGTGGTGGGAGTCATTAATAGCCTGCTGAAGTCTACGGGATTCGCCTGCCTAGTTTCATTTACTGACTCTGCAGCGGCACTAATTACAACCCGTTCTCGCAAATTTAATAAGTCAATATTGACTTATTATATATGTGCATAGGTGACATACTTAACATAATAGTTTCCCTTGAAAAGCTTCATAGAAAACACCGACCTTACCTAACCTACTTAGTATGTTAAGATAAGCATCTTATTGCTTCGTAATTACAATTATTACCTAACCTATACCTATAATAGGTTAAGTAACAATTGTAATTACGAAGCTATAAGATGCTTATTTTAACATACTAAGTAATAAGTCAATATTGACTTATTAAATTTGCGAGAACGGGTTGCTAATTATACCTGGAACATACCTGGAGAGGGTTTCGGGAGTTCTTCTACTCCCCAAGTCCGGCCTGGGACCCCAGGCTCGACTTGTGATAACTTTGACCAACAGGAGACAGTATTCAAGCAACAGGCTGTTGCTTGAAGACGTCCACCATTGTTCCAGCAATATTTCTAATGCTTGCTGGGAGGGTGTTGAACAGCTGTGGACCTCTGATGTTCAGACAGTGTTCTCTGATTGTGCCTATGGCACCTTTGCTCTTCACTGGACCTCTGATGTTCAGACAGTGTTCTCTGATTGTGCCTATGGCACCTTTGCTCTTCACTGGACCTCTGATGTTCAGACAGTGTTCTCTGATTGTGTCTATGGCGTCCAGTGTCTTCAGGTGTGTGGGGCTTTATGACGGACGTGGACCCCGTGTTCAGGTGTGGGGGGGGGGGTTTATGACGGACGTGGACCCCGTGTTCAGGTGTGGGGGGGGTTTATGACGGACGTGGACCCCGTGTTCAGGTGTGGGGGGGGTTTATGACGGACGTGGACCCCGTGTTCAGGTGTGGGGGGGGTTATGACGGACGTGGACCCCGTGGTCAGGTGTGGGGGGGGGTTTATGACGGACGTGGACCCCGTGTTCAGGTGTGGGGGGGGGGTTATGACGGACGTGGACCCCGTGTTCAGGTGTGGGGCTTATAACGGACGTGGACCCCGTGTTCAGGTGTGGGGGGGTTTATGACGGACGTGGACCCCGTGTTCAGGTGTGGGGCTTATAACGGACGTGGACCCCGTGTTCAGGTGTGGGGGGGGTTATGACGGACGTGGACCCCGTGTTCAGGTGTGGGGGGGGTTATGACGGACGTGGACCCCGTGTTCAGGTGTGGGGGGGGGGTTTATGACGGACGTGGACCCCGTGTTCAGGTGTGGGGGGGGCTTATGACGGACGTGGACCCCGTGTTCAGGTGTGGGGCTTTATGACGGACGTGGACCCCGTGTTCAGGTGTGGGGCTTTATGACGGACGGGGACCCCGTGTTCAGGTGTGGGGGGGGCTTTATGACGGACGGGGACCCCGTGTTCAGGTGTGGGGCTTTATGACGGACGGGGACCCCGTGTTCAGGTGTGTGGGGCTTTATGACGGACGTGGACCCCGTGTTCAGGTGTGGGGGGGGGGGCTTATGACGGACGTGGACCCCGTGTTCAGGTGTGGGGGGGGTTTATGACGGACGTGGACCCCGTGTTCAGGTGTGGGGCTTATAACGGACGTGGACCCCGTGTTCAGGTGTGGGGGGGGTTTATGACGGACGTGGACCCCGTGTTCAGGTGTGGGGTTTATGACGGACGTGGACCCCGTGTTCAGGTGTGGGGGGGGGGGGGCTTATGACGGACGTGGACCCCGTGTTCAGGTGTGGGGCTTTATGACGGACGTGGACCCCGTGTTCAGGTGTGGGGCTTTATGACGGACGGGGACCCCGTGTTCAGGTGTGGGGGGGGGGCTTTATGACGGACGTGGACCCCGTGTTCAGGTGTGGGTGGGGGGGCTTATGACGGACGTGGACCCCGTGTTCAGGTGTGGGGGGGGCTTTATGACGGATGTGGACCCCGTGTTCAGGTGTGGGGGGGGGGGTTTATGACGGACGTGGACCCCGTGTTCAGGTGTGGGGGGGGGGTTTATGACGGACGGGGACCCCGTGTTCAGGTGTGTGGGGCTTATGACGGACGTGGACCCCGTGTTCAGGTGTGGGGCTTTATGACGGACGTGGACCCCGTATTCAGGTGTGGGGGGGGGCTTTATGACGGACGGGGACCCCGTGTTCAGGTGTGTGGGGCTTTATGACGGACGTGGACCCCGTGTTCAGGTGTGGGGGGGGGCTTATGACAGACGTGGACACCGTGTTTAGGTGTGGGGGGGGGGGTTTATGACGGACGTGGACCCCGTGTTCAGGTGTGGGGCTTATAACGGACGTGGACCCCGTGTTCAGGTGTGGGGGGGGTTATGACGGACGTGGACCCCGTGTTCAGGTGTGGGGGGGTTATGACGGACGTGGACCCCGTGTTCAGGTGTGGGGGGGGGGTTTATGACGGACGTGGACCCCGTGTTCAGGTGTGGGGGGGGCTTATGACGGACGTGGACCCCGTGTTCAGGTGTGGGGCTTTATGACGGACGTGGACCCCGTGTTGTGGTGTGGGGCTTTATGACGGACGGGGACCCCGTGTTCAGGTGTGGGGGGGGCTTTATGACGGACGGGGACCCCGTGTTCAGGTGTGGGGCTTTATGACGGACGGGGACCCCGTGTTCAGGTGTGTGGGGCTTTATGACGGACGTGGATCCCGTGTTCAGGTGTGGGGGGGGGGGGCTTATGACGGACGTGGACCCCGTGTTCAGGTGTGGGGGGGGTTTATGACGGACGTGGACCCCGTGTTCAGGTGTGGGGCTTATAACGGACGTGGACCCCGTGTTCAGGTGTGGGGGGGGGGTTTATGACGGACGTGGACCCCGTGTTCAGGTGTGGGGGGGGGTTTATGACGGACGTGGACCCCGTGTTCAGGTGTGGGGGGGGGGCTTATGACGGACGTGGACCCCGTGTTCAGGTGTGGGGCTTTATGACGGACGTGGACCCCGTGTTCAGGTGTGGGGCTTTATGACGGACGGGGACCCCGTGTTCAGGTGTGGGGGGGGGGGCTTTATGACGGACGTGGACCCCGTGTTCAGGTGTGGGTGGGGGGGCTTATGACGGACGGGGACCCCGTGTTCAGGTGTGGGGGGGCTT